GCCAGGAGCTGCGCGCGCTGCCACCTCCCGCGACGTGTCGTTACTGGGCCCGGAACAGGGAACCTGAGTGGCCTGTGCAAACCCTGCCCCTTTAAAAGTGAAACCTACTCCCTGGCCTGGCGCCGGGTCCGCCATCCGACCCCATTGCATTACTGAGTGGCTTGCGTGAGTTTCTGGCTCCCACCTGTCTGCGCAGGTAAGCCCCATAAATCTTAATTCGCTCCTCATGTGACCCTCATTCTACAGGGACGTGCTGGGCCCTGGCTTTGCGCCAGGCAAATGGAGGGCCAAGCCCCTGAGGGGGTGGCCTCTTAGCAGGTGTAGGGGCTGGTGAGAAGAGTGCCAAAGAGCTTGGAGAGAATGAGAAGCATCAGGGATCAGATCATACTACTGTCCTCTGGAAAAAAAAAAAAGTGAAAGCTGCTCCAGACTTGGGTCTTTGGCAGCAAAGGACAGTGGCCCAGGAGAGAAGGGAAATCAAGACTGCCTGCCCCTACCCTGCTCAACCAGCAGAGCCCAGATGGGTGGCAGGTGGAGAGCAAAAGGCCAACCCCCAGGGCCACTCAAGGGAGGGAGGCTCCTGAGGACAGCAGGAGCAGGAAGAAACACCTAGGCTGGGAGAGAAGCCCTTCAGGAGGAGGGAGGGCTGTGGTGCCAGAGGGCACCTGGGGACTCCAGACTCAGAGTAGGGAGAAGGTCTTGCCTCACAGCAGGGAGAATCACCCTGGACCACAGAGTTTGTGCCTCCAAAGGAGGCTCGAACACAAGCTGGGAAGGGTCACACAGTTGCATGTAACTCAGTCCAACCCCAGAAACACACACAGGATCCAGGAATCCAGAAAATATCCAGTACATGCTAAGTGCCCCGTAAAGACAATCAGACGCGGAGATAAGCAGGAAATCAACCCATATTAAGGGGGAGCTCAAGCCAAATTGACCAGAGTTGACAGGCAGAGGTTAGACCAGGTGAGCACATCACATGCATCCTGAGACTGCTTTCTGTTTGTAATGCTGCAGGAGAGACAAGAGGGGACGCAGAGACAGACAAGAGCATGAAGCTTCAAAGTGAATTTCCACAAGTGGAAACGAAGTGCCTCTGATAAATAAGACAGATGGGACTGATGGCAGGCTGTGAAAGCCAGGCTCGCCACACCTGCCTGCGACAGAGCCCGTCCAGTGAGGCAGAACAGTTGGGGAGAGCGGGCATCGCAAGCTGTGGAACTCCCAGCACAGGCAGAACCAGGTCCCCACAGGAGAAGGTAGAGAGGTGGGGAAAGAAGAAATCCTCTTGAAAAAAAAAATGGCCAGAATTTTCCCAAAGGTGATGATTGAAAAACAAACCGACAACCAAGAAAGGCTGACCAGACCTGAGTGCAGAAGAAGTCAAGTAACATCAGTATCAGGATGCGGAGAACCAGCCCAGCGGAGAGCGCCAAAGCAGCTCTGAGGAGAGGTGCCTTTCGTGCAGACTGGCAAAAGATGCTCCTGCAAATATCCCAGGCAAGGAGACACCTGCGTCTTCAGCACCCAGAAAAGAAACCTGCCAAGCCACATGCCTGGCCAGCAAAGATGCCTTTTAAAAACAAAGGTGAAGCCAGGACTTTTTCAGACATCTGAAGCTGAATCCATCCCCAGCAGATCTGCAGCAAGGAAGGCTAAAGACGTCCTTCAGGAGAAGAAGGTAATGCCAGATGGCACCTGAATCTGCACGACTTGAGGAGGCCTGGAAACTGAGACTGCACCAGTCCTGGAGAGCATGGCTTGATTGAGTCTCTGTAGAGACAGCTGTTTAACGCAAAAGTAACACAGGCACTGAGGGGCTTAAGCCACATGAAAACCTCCAACATAGACTAAAAGCAGAAAGAGGCTGGGAAGAGATAGAGAAGAAGTGCCTGTGAGGCCAGGAACACCACGACCCTCGACCACGGCACATGGGCATGCTGCAGGAGGCCAGGCGTGGGGGTGCACGCCTGTGGTCAAGCTGCTCGGCAGGCTGAGGCAGGAGGGTAAGTTATCCAGGAATTGAGGCCAGCCACACAGTGAGACCCCATCTCAAAAACAAAAGCTGTTTTATATCCTAAAGCATTAAAATAACAAAGAATTTCAGCTAATGGGGCAAGAAAGGAAACCAAGTAATTAAAACATTAATCCAAAAGAAGGCAGGAAAAGAGGGAAAAAGAACCAATGAATAATCAGGATAAAAGACAGCAAGATGAGGAAACTGTTAGGCGCACATACATTTAGGATAAACGTGAATATTCTAAACATTCAAATTAAAAGGTGGAGGTTGTCAGATTGGGTACAAAAGCAAGACACAGACAGATGCTGCCTAGAAAAAACTCATAAATAAAACTGACAGATCTCTTATAATCAAGAGCAGCCAGAGCAGAGAGCATTTCCAGAGAGGGGCAGGCAATGACCCTGATTTGTGAATGCCAAGGCCAACTGCAGAGAACGCCATGGAATCAAACCTGGACCCAAGAGGCAACATTCCCAGAGTCTGAACACACAGAGGGTGATACAGATGTGCATATCAGAGCCAACAGATGTGGCAACTAGAAGAAACGACACCCATCCTGGAAGACAGAAAGACCAGAGCCAGAACAGCCGCCTATCTATTAAATAATCTGAACTTTTGCTTGAAGAAAGCAGGAAGCCCAGCCAAGTCTACTGAGAGCCCAGAAAACACTCAAGGAGTCAACAGCAGCTCTGCAAAGGAAGAGCATGACCACTGCTCGCTCCTGGGCAGCAGTGCAGACGCCAAACCCAATGACCACAAAATGACATCTGTCATGAACCGGTGCATAAAATGTTTTATTGCAATTAGTCAAATGCAACAATATGAAGAGGAACACTGCATGGTGATCGGCGGTGGGGGGGGGGTGTCCAGGGCTGTAGCATTGGCTTAATTATGAAAACCCACTAGCACAGCTGGCCACATCGACGGACAGGAAGGTTGGAACAGGGATCTCAGTGTTACAGTAAAGGAATAAAAAGACACAACACTTCCTCAACCTGGAAAAAGGTCTCTACCAGAAAGAAAATTAAAAATCCATCCAACATCACATGGGAGAGTAGATACTGGCCCTTCCCACTGACATCGCAACCATGGTGTCTGTTCCTGGCCAGTGCAGTGAGGGCAAGGGAAAACATGACCCATGTGGAGAGGGGCAGGCAATGACCCTGATTTGTAAATGCCAAGGCCAGCTGTGCAGAGAACGCCATGGGATCTACAGGACGCCAATAGAACTCATGAGCTCTCGCACATCAGGGCGCTAGACCCTCACACGGCACCCCTCAGGAACAGCAGCAAGCAACTCCCAGGCGTAGCTGGGGAGCACGGGAGTCTGCATGTTCAGTGGAGTGACCCAACCCTTCCACCCAGCATTCACCACCCAGAATCCAAGGTGCAGGGCCACTGCCCATGTCATGCCCTAGCCGGAGCCAACCCAAGGTGTCAGCAGGAGAAGGCAGACACGTTGCTCCCACCCACGGCACTCTCGCTGACTGGGGGGGTGGGTCTGCGGAACTCAGACCACAGCGAGGACCGTGTGGCTGCATGGCAGCCAATTCACAGGAGAAGGCTGCTAACTCCTGGGTTCTAATGCTCCTCCTGCCTCAGCCTCCTGAGGAGTGGGGGCCACTGCACCCAGACACTAAAGGTGCATTGATCTCTGGTGACAGAAGTTGTGGAAATGGGGAGGGGTGAAAGGGTGAGGCAGGAGGATGGTATGGCCTAAGACAACTTTGGGGTGATGGGAAAGTCATCTGGATCAAGGGCGGGACTCATGGGTGCCTCTGTGCCCCGAGCCAGTGCGCCAAGCAGCCCCCATCAGAGGCCTAGCGCTTCAGAGCCCTGTCCCAGAGCCCCATTGTGGCTGAGAGTCTGTGTCCCCCAGCTTCTGTGCCGAGCCCTAGCCCCCGTGGGATGAGAAGAGGAAGAGACATGAAGAGGGACTGGGCACCATCCACAGGCCGCGAGGTGGGCCTTGCAGGGCCCAGGATTGCTTCCTTAGCGGGACGTCCAGCCTCCGCAGCTGGGGGTGGTTGATGCCCGTCTCTGCTGCTCTGTGTTGGCAGCCTGGCTGCCCAGGACGGACTCTCTGGTCAGTCTTACCCACAGGGCTGTGTGTGTGACACCAGACCTGCCTCACGACTGGTCAGAGTGTGTTCTAGGCTACTGGACAGGACAGCAGGTTGAATGGACCCTACCAGCTCTGGGCTCAGCCCCGAGCCCCAGAAGACATGTCCCCTGGCCTGAGCTGAATCTCTGCCTGAGGCCAGAGAGGACACTGGCTTGGGGGCTGACGGGTGGTACATCTTTCAGGTCTCCCACCTGGAGACTCCTGGCCTGCCCAGGCCTATTCCCACCAGGGCCATTGGCAAGGGTGCTGCCTGGAGTATTTCTGTTGTCTGGGGAACACACACCCCCACTCAGCAGCCCAGGTGGTCAAGGCCCATCCACAGCCTCTGTGACCCCATAGGCCCTGCTCCTGGGACCTTGGTGTTCAGCTTTAGGATAGGGAATTCTCCAGGCTACATACTAGGTGCCACAAAGGAATTGGCAGCAAGAGGCTCCCAGGCACAGGTCCAGTGCTGCCCACCACTCCTGCTGTTGCCTTCCCCACCTGGGCTGCTGCAGGGGGGTGTGCATTGCCCACCTGGGCCCTGTGGGGTCTCTGGGAATATCCTACAGGTGTCCATAGATGGGACGCCCCAACAGAAGGTGCAGGGAAGCTCCAACCTGGGGCTGGGCTGCCTGGGGTCACCCTGAGAGGGCAGTGCAGGCCTTGTCCTGGTGGATAAGGGCCAAGGAAAAGGACGATATGCAGACCTGGGGCTGCACCCAGGCCTCCGCAGCCCTGGGAGGGTGTTTCCTCTGGGGCAGCCCTGCAGGACTGCCATGCCAGAGTGAGACCCCACCCACAGTCCCAGCCAGTCCTGGTGAGCCATGCAGGGAGGTGGGCACACCCATGCCCAGGCTGCTCCCGGCCAGCTTAGCTCCTCCCTGGCCCTCTCTGCCTAGCTGGGCCTGGAATCATGAGCAACCCAGGACCTATGAAGGGGGCTCTCAGGCCAGGTGGCTCTGGGTGTGAGGCCAGGGCCACCCTGCAGGGGACCAGCCTTAATTATCAGTGGTGCTAGAGGAAGTATAGGTAGAGGGACGGTTGCCCTGGCAACGGGAGGACTCCCCAAGAAAGAAGCAATGGAATGGAGTGCAAAGGGGCAGCTGAAGACTGGGGCTCCAGGGCCACCTGTGCTGCCAGGTGGGCACCCAGCTTAAGGCTGGACCTGCTCACCTTCAGGGAAAGGGGGGCAGCCCCAGGAGAGAGCTTGTCTGTCCCCAGGCAGCCACCTGAGGAGGGTGCCATCCCTCCTCTGCCCCCAGTAAGGCCAGGAGAGAGGGTTACAGAAAGGGAGTAGGTGCCAGGCCTTGGGGCTCTCAGGAGCCTTGTGGCTCTGCAGGTGGAGGGCCACTGCCTTGCCACCTGAGCAGTGCGGGCCTCCGGCCTGGGCTGACCTGAGCACCTGGAACAGCAAGGGGCAGGAGGCCAGAGTCCTGCACTTCAGGGCCGCTGTCATGCCCCAGGACCAGCAGCACCAGAGCCTGACAGAGGGCCGAGTCCTCCTGACTTGAACAGGACACCAGCACTTCCAGAGTGATATGCCTTCAGGGGCCTGTGGCTTGGAGACCACGAGAGACATGAGAGGTCCCTAGAATGACTGATGGCAGCCGGTAATGCTGGGACCCTGATGCCCCCATGGCTCTGAGGCCTCCCACCTGAGCAGATCCCTGTACCTGAGCCGGGTGGAGGGGCGGGTCCCCGAGGAGGACCTGGAAGTAGTCTCTGGCTTAAGCCACGTTGTAGTAGTGACTGCCTGGAAGACAGGGCTCTGAACCACTCCAGTCCCCTCCCAGAGACCATGTGACTCAGGGCTCAGAGTGGGGCAGGGCATCTGCAGCAGCCCTGTGTGGAGGCTGTGGGCTTGCGGACACTCTGGCCGGGCCTGCGCTCGTTCAGGAGGCAGAGTGGGGCCTCCAGTGGGCCCCAACTGGCCAGGCGGTGGTTGAAGACTGGAGGACTGCAGCGCCTAAGGACCTGGCCCTGGCCTGCAGCTGTCAGGCAGATGCTCCTCTGTCCTTACCTAGCAGGAGCCTCTGTGCCACTCTCCTGCCACAGTGCATCCAACCGGGTCAGGGCGATGCTGGCTGGACCCAGGGCAGGAGACTGCATACACCCTCCCTGCCTCAGGAACGTGTGCATCCCACAGGGTGGGAGCTCAGGGGAGTCCAGGATAGCCCACTTAGATGTCTCTGTGCCTCGCTCCACCTCTCAGAGGCAAGGCCTAGGGGGCTTGGTTCTGGTGCCCTGCGTACCTAGTTTCACATCCCACCCCCACCACCTCCTGGACAACAGGTAATGCTGGCAGGAAAAGGCTCCACAGGCCTAGCCTGCGACACTGCTGGACAGGTGGCCCTCAGGCCAACACAGCCAGCAGACTGAGAACTGCCAGCAATCCAGACCCTACCTCCTAGTGCAGGCTACTTCCTCCTGTCCCATGAAGTCCCCCTGGAAAGCAGCTCTGGATTCACCACTGAGCCCTGGTGAAGCCCCAACACCAGTCTCCACTTGGCCCAAAGGGCAGTGCCAGCCGAGGGCACACATGTGCACTGTGATGTGCCACACGTGGGCAGGTAGAGCCTCTCCCACAAGAAGCCTGGGCTTCACATGCCCTCCCACTGCTGCGGGAGGGAAGGCACACGTGCAGAAGTGGCTTATAGCGCTGTGTCCAACAGGCCACCCAGAAGGGGACAGAGGCTGTGTCCTAGCCCACTGGGCCTGGCCCTGGGAAAGAGCACACCCCACCCAAGTTTGGCTCTCCAACAGCAGCATCCAAAAGGCTGACTGTTGGCCAGACCCAGAGAGGAAGGAGGCTGGAGACTGGCAGGCCTGGGAAGACAGTGCGTGGGCTGCCAGGACGGGCCAGGGCCTATGCCTCAGAAATGCCTACATTTGTCCCAGGGCATCCACTCCACTGTGACCCTCACAAATATGGTGTCAGATACTAGGCTTCTGCAGTGGCCGTGGTAACAGGGACAGCATGGACACCCCTGGCTCTTGGCATGGCTTGAAGCCTGAGCCCCAAAAGCAAGGCCAAAGGCGACATGTCCAGATGGCTGGAGGGTGGGGACCCAGTGACCCAGGCCTGGCTGGGGAAGGAGCCCTGCTGAGCCCTCCATCACCCTGGACGGGAGCTCTGCACTTAGCTGCAGGACAACCCCAGAAGACATGCTGGCTCCTGTGCCTCTATCCTCCACCGAAGACAGCTCTCTTAGCCAAAGGCAGCCATAGTGGGCACTGGAGAGGGGCTGGGGCCACGTCCCTCGGTGGAGCTCGCTGCTCCTGGATGGTGGCCTTTCTTTGCAGCCTTCTGTCTGGACCTGCTGGTGCTCCTCTGCTCGGCAGCTGCCCCACCTGCATCTCTGCAGAGTGAGTGTCCTCACTCGTTTCTTCCTGGGCCCAGAGGACCTGGGGAGGTGGAGACAGCAGTCTTTTCTGCTGCTGACCACAGTCTGGCATGGGCAGGGATGCCCTGTCCCACCCTCCACCATGGTGCCCTGCAGATGCTCCTCCTTGGAGTAGCCTCAGTGCCCCATTCTGCAGAATGAGGAGGAAGGCGGGGAGCAGGAGTGGAGGCTGCCTCCCCAGGGGGCACCAGGGACCCCTGGTGGGCAGGACAGGCATCTCCACCTGGCAGCCCTCACCAGCAGCTCCACCTGGAGGGCTGGGGTCCTTGTTGGGAGGAGGCAGGCAAAGGCCAGGCTCCACCTGCTCTCCACCAGCCCTGTTCTCTTTCCCTGGTGCCAGTCCCCACTTGACCCAGTGTCCGTCCAGAAGCTGACCCAACACTGTGATGTAGAAAGGCTCTTTAAACTGTGAGGTGGGAGACAAAAGAGCTGGCGCCCTATGACTAGCCAGCAGTTCACCAGGCTCATGGGTCCCTCATGAGGCAGGGACCTCCAGGTATGGTACGGGGTCAGAGAAGGGGCCCGGCCGGGCCCAGTAGTCCAGTGCTCGCACACGGTAGGAGCCAGAAACAGCAGCTGTGTCTGGAGACACAAAGGTACATGTGTTATCGAGCGTGTGTCCACCTGAACCCACCCCGAGTCCCCGAAACCCCCTGCCCCACGGCACCCAGTGGTGTGCTGAGACCTAGGGCAGTGAGTGTTAGGTGTACCTGGGCTGAACACAAAGAGGTTAAAAGTGGATGGCCTCCTGCTGACCGGGGTGTACACCTCACCATCCAGGGAGAACTGGATCTCATAAGTCCACAGGCACCTGGGGAGGTTGGAGTCAGGGTGGCCCCTGAGGTCTGAGTGGGCAGGGTAGGGTGTGTCCACAGCCCTCCAGCCCCTTACTGGCATCTCCCCAGTCCAGCACCCTGGGCATTCTTCCTACAGGGACAGGCCACAGGAGCTGAGGGGAGAGGACAATGGCCCAGCTATGGCTTTCAGTGTCCCCTGCAGGGGCCCAGCCAGCTCTCCAAGACAGGTGAGCCGTCCAGGGTGGCTGTGTGCAGGGGAGCGCATGTGCGATGGGGGCCGTAGAAGGGCAGAGGACATGCCATTGGGTCTGCCTTGTGGAGGGCATTGGGAGCTCTGCAGGGGGAAGACCAGGTGGGCCTCTGCAGGGCAACACTGAGGAGGGGCAGTGGCCCCAGTCACGCACTTGGAGCCCACGCGCTCATCCGACCAGACCAGAGCCAGCTGCCCTCGGGTCAAGGGCAGGACACGGAGGCGGGTGACCTGCGGGGAGAGAGGGGCTATGGCAGGGTGTGGAGGGAGTGGGCAGCTGCTGGCGGGGCAGGGGTGTCACTTGCCTGGCCAGGAGGCTTCTCGGGGCGCGCACACACGTGCACCAGAAGGAGCGAAGGCAGCGCAAGCTCAGGATGCAGCGTCAGGCTGCCGCCGACCGGGAAGGGGCGCGGCTCTGCAACCACAGGGTCCTGAGGACAACAGAGGGGCCCAGGTGAGAGAAGCCCCCCCTGACCACAGGTCTCAGCGACACCCAGGGTCCACAGACCTCAGCTAAGCGCATACGGCGGAACTGCTCCGCGGAGGGGAAGACCGGCCGGCCCATGTGCTGCCACTCGCTGTGGGGGCTGCAGAGACGGTTGTCCAGGTGGTACGTGACGTAGAGGAGCCCTGCGGGCGGGATGCTGGGGCTCATCTCTCCTGCCCCGCCCCCTCCAGCCTGCCCTCCCTGGGCACCGCTCACCTGGGTGGGGAGGAACCCCATACAAGTGCAAGGTCACACGGATGCTGCGGTTGGGGTGGGTGCGGGTGTCATCACTTGCATAGACCAGCATGGTGGCACGCCAGGCGTCAGTGAGGCCCTTAGGGTGGTGGGCACTGGCCAGGACGCCCACTGTGTGGTTGCTGTCCAGCACCACCCTGTGTCGGGACACCTCTGCCCAGAGCTGCTCTCCATCTACAGGGCCCAGGGTGGGGGTGTGGGGCTGTCACCATGTGCGGTAGCTGCCCCTCGGCCTGCCTTCCCACCATGTGCTCCTCCTCTTGCTGTCCTCACACCTCTCTGCCATAGAACCAGAGGAGATGGGGGCAGTAACTTAGGAGGACTAAGCCCCAAGACATAGGCACAGCAGGAAGTGTGCTTCCCATGCCTCAGGGCCTTTGTACAGGACACTCCTGGCCCTGGAAGATACCCTAACTAGGTAAAGCCTGGGTCAGGGGCTCAGGGCCTTCTCTGGCCTTTCCCATCTCAGAGGGAACATGCCAGGGGGCAGGTCTGTTTCTAGTCTGACCGAACACACACAGGAGCAACAAGGAGAGCTCACCCAGCAGGGCCAGCAGCCCCATGGCTGTGAGAACTGGCTTGCGCAGCAGCTGCACGTGGGGCGGGTGGGTGTTGTTCACCTGGAAGCGGGCAGTCAGCGTGCGCTGGGAGAAGGGGTGCGGGTGGTAGCTCAGGAAGGCGTTGTCATTGCTCAGGAGAGCATAGTGGACTGGGGAGCTGGCATTGGCGACCAGCAGGTTCTGGTGCTGGGCGATGACCTGCAGGGGCCCAGGACAGCAGGGTCATGGAGGGCTCACCCCACCCTGGAAGGTCAGCTGGCTGGCCTGGTGGACTCAGCAGCTAGAGGGTGGGCCCACCTTCACCACCATGGCTGCGTAGGTCACATCGGCCCTCCACGGCTGTGGCTGTGACCAGCCCACCAGCGGGTCTGCCTCGTCGTTGTAGATGGGGATGTCCTTGAACGTGGGGAAGAGCTGCTGGATCTGCTGCACAGTGGCCACCTCCTGCTCCAGGATGCCGATGGAGCTGCCTTTGCCCTGCGGCAGCACCGGTCTCAGCACCGCAGCCGGCGAGCCTGGCTGAGGGGGGCTGGGCACAGCACACACCTTCTTGTGCAGGGAGATGTAGTCCAGACGCACGCCCACCTCGCCAGTGAAGAAGTTGGTGCCGTTGGCACAGTGCCCCAGGAGGCTCCAGCAGAGCGGGGACCGCGGGGGCGGGTGGAAGGAGTCGCCAGGGCCACCCAGCCGCAGGGCAGGGCTGGCAGCCCTCAGACCCTCAGAGCAGGCATCATAGTAGTTCAGGAAGCCTGGAGCCCGTGGGTCCAGGGGTCAGGAGGGTCTGTGGGCACAGGGCCCCCCTCAAGCCCGCCCCACATGGTGGGACCGCAGCAAGCCACACACCTTGAGTGGTCATGGACACGTTGTCAAAATCCTTGTGGTCTGGCTCATTCCATGTCTCGAAGTTCCACTTAGAAACCTGCGCTAGTCCGTACCTACCTGCAGAGTGTCCACCTCCATCCAGAGAGCGTGAGTGCCACCCGCCTCCCAGGGGTCCCCAGGACCGGAGATCTGGAGTGACTGAAGGTGAGCCCTCACCCCAGGAAGCCCAGAAGCCGTGATAGGACGGGGCCTGGGTGAAGGGGAAGGAGAGCCTCGGGGCCCCAGGGCATGCCCTCCCACACACCTATGTATCTCCTGGCCAGGAGAGAGACCAGGTCCCTCCACTTCACCACCTGCAGCTTGTCCTCAAAGTCATTGAAGCGTCCTGAAGGGCTTCCCATCAGCTCAAAGCCTGAGACACAGCAGGCAGCTGCCCCACTGCCTGCATAGTTCCAGCAGCCCACCCAGTCCCAAGGCAGCCCCGGCCACCACTGCCAGGGAGGACCCAGGGTGTCTGCAGGGGGCTTGTCCCTGCTCACCGGGCAGCAGCTGGTTCTCTTGGAGGAGGTCCAGATACCCGTCCAGGTGGGTGAAGTTGTAGCTCAGGCCCTGCCCGGCCGACCCCTTGCTGAAGGAGAGGAGGTGCTGGGGACAGCCAGGCACCTGGCAGCCCTGGGCTGGCACCACTGCCACTCCCAGGCAGGGAGGGAACCATAAGGTGCCAGGCTGAACGTGGCTCCAGGGTGCCCATGCCCGTCCCTCTGGAACACCAACACTGTGGAAGCCTGTCACCCACAGCTTGGTATCAACCAGGGTCCTCATGTGTCCAAGCCTTTCAGAAATGGGAGCCTGGGGTGGAGGCGCAGGAAGCCGGGCAGGAGCCACAAAACAGGACTGGGGGGGGCGTTCTGAGGATGGCTGGCCTGGAGCAGAGGACTGGTACAGTGCCAGGCAGAACCTGGTTCTCGGCACCTCCTGGAGGCAAGGGCCCCACATTTGGCACCCTCACCATCCTCCCAAGAAGCAACTGAATGGGCAGGTCAGGAAGGTGGAGGGTCTCCCCACACCCTCAGTCCAGACGGATTCCCACAGGGCTCAGGTTCAAGAGGGACGGGTATCATCAGACAACCATGTGGATCTTCAATAGGCTGTCAGATGTTTGTTGGAGGGGATGTGACAGGAGTGGGAGCGAAGGGGGCAAAGGGTCAAGAGAGAGGACCTCTCAGAGTAACATCAAAGGCCTGCCAGGTGACAAGACACGCCAGTGATGTACACACATGCAAAGGCCCTGAGGTAGGCGTGAGCTCATGGTAGGGGCTCAGGCAGAATGAACAAGGTGTGTTTGTGGAGGTCTTGTGCCCATGTGAGGATGGGACATTGACGGACTGAAGTAGGAGCCCTTGCAGAGTTCTGAGCAGAGCATCACAGGGACATTTTGGAAGGGTCCCTGTGGCAGTGAATTGGAGTCAGAGCAGGAGCCAGAGACTGGCTAGAGGGCTTCAGGGGTTCCCAGCAAGAGGAGGGGTGCCCAGCTGGGCAGTGGCTTGGAAGCCCATGGGAAGGGGCTAGAGCAGATGGGCTTCCAGGGAGTGGGTGGGGTGAGGTTTCTAACAGCAGCTTGGAGGAGCAGGATGAGCCTGCAGGAAACTGGTCTGGGTTTGGTGGTAGAAAACTGGCAGCCTGAGGGGGGCCTAGGTAAGGGTGCTGGTGCTCAGGGGTCTGGGGCCAGCTGAGGGCCTGCTCAGTAAAGAGTTAGGAGAGCCAGCCAAGGTCTGCCACTGTCCAACCCAGGCACTAGTCCTCCCCCTGGGAGTCCACTGCAGCCTCTAGCCAAGGTCCAAGGGTTAGGGTTAGGGTCCAGGTCCCAGGACATGTGCCCCCAGAGGGCCTGCAAGACAGCTCTGATTTGTTTGGGATGGGATGGCAGGCAGGTGAGGTCACCATGGTAGACAGTGCAGTCTGGCTTGACCACTGACAGATGAGTCACAGCTTAGTGATGACCCCTGCCCAGCAGGTGGGGACAGCACCCCTTCTTCAGGTTCCCAGCGTATCCTTCCCCCCTCCCGCACACCCTGGAGCAGAGCCTGGGCCCAGTCCTTGGTCCATAGGCCCAGCTTCTGGGGCTCCCTCTGCTGGATCTGCTGCGCCCACTCCACCTCAGCGCTCTCACACAAGGGTCACAGTCAGTAGCAAATAAATGAAACGTTACAAGCACTTGGATAAAGATTAGTGGCGGTCGCTGACAGCGACCGGTTCCAAAGTCCTGGAGGTAATGAGGAGACACAGTCACAGGCTCCCATTTTCTCTGCAGATCTCCGCGGCCATAACCCCACCTAGGCCCATTCCAGGGACGGGCCGGAGGGTCTAATGGCCCTAGCAGCCAGGGATGCAGGATGCCAAGATGGCCCCAGAGGCTGCCCCAGACCCAACCCCAGGAACCTGTCCTGTGGCCCCACTTTCGGTGGGTCAGTCTCCCTCTGCCTCAGCCCACACTGTGACAGGATTCCAGAGGCCTAGACTCGGGAAGGGACTAGGCCGGCGAATGGTGAGGTCCACCCCAAAACTCCGCTGCAGAGACAGCTGGGGCCAGGAAGCGAGAGGCCCCTCTACAGGGCCAGGCCCCGCGGGACCGCGCCGAGCCTCACAAGGGCCCATTCACCGCGCTGGTGCCCGTTGGGCCCCAGGCCCCCGCCCCTGGCCGAGCGCGTGCGCCGATAGAACGCAGCCGCTGCGGCGGGGTGAGTGCACGCGGCTGGGGTGACGGCGGGCGGTCCGGGTGGGCTAGGCGGGTGCGCGAGGTGACACGGCCGAGGAGGCGTGCACGGGGGCGCGCATGCACTGGGGCGTCCGCACGGTGGAGGGGTGAGCGGGCCGGGCCGCGCGTTTTGTGGGGTGGGCGGCCTGCAGGGGGTGCATGCAGCGGGGTCGATGAGCGGGCGGGTCCGCGCGTGAGGCGAGGGTCAGGGCAGTGAGCTCGTCCGCCCGCGCCTCCGCTGAGGGTGGGATGGCAGCGTGGGAGAGACGCTCAGGGTGGGCAGCGGCCGCGCGCCCTGAGGGTGGGGAATGGGGCGGAGCCGGGCCGCGCTCCCGGCGTGGGAAAGAGGACGCCCAAGCTCGGAGGCGGGGAGAACCTGCATCTCTGCCCCGCTGGGGTCTTCGGAACCCGCTGCACGCTTAAAGGATAAAACGAAGGAAATCACGGGGCCGCACTGGACGAGATAGGCATGCAGCGGGGTCCCGGCGGACTGAAGGCGCCGGACACAAGTCGCTGCCCTGAGTGGGCCCAGCAGAGAGCGAGGGAGCCTGTGGCTCATGGGCGCGCTGCGGGTGGGGAGTGGTCCTGACCTCAACACAGAGAAACCGGGGCTGGGGGGCTGGGGGCTGGGAGCCGTAAGTCCCAAGGGTCCTACTATTCTCTCGCCTGGAGGTGTGACCACAGTTGCATCTCCCCTGCGGAGACACCCATACCAGGCAGGGCAGGCGGGAGCCAGGAAACCTGTCAGCCAGACCACAGAGGGGGGAGGGGCTGCCCCTACACTGTTCTGTACTGCCCAGGTGACACCCCCCACCTTGCCCTGTGGACCCAGGATCCATCCTGCCAACTCCAGGGAGACCCCAGGAAAGTGACTCAGCCCTGGTGGTCTCCTGGGTAGTTCTTCACTGCCCCTCCAGGGGTAACTGGGCAGATGAGAGTTTTATGACGCCCAGTAGCTGCCTTCTGGACAGCAGAAGGGTCCCTTATCTGCCTCAGAAGGCATGCTGCGATTCGCCCCCACCACACCCACTGGGCAAAAGTGGTTGGAAGCCACACTCCCAACCACTGGGCAAACAGTGGGCCCCTCAGGACTGGGGTCCAGGAGGAGGAAGGCCGAGCCCCTGCAGAGGCCCAGCAGAGCCAGGGGAGATGGTGAGGTCCTGGGCAGGGTCCTCCAGCAGAAGCAATCAGATCTGGAGAGGGCATGGGTGGGGGCTATGGTAACAAAGGTGGGGTATCCAGCTTAACCTCATCTCCCACTCAGGCTTCCTTCCACCCACCTAATTCCAAACCCACTTAGTCCCCAGACAGGGCTGCTGGTCTTCCCTGGCCAGGCCCATGGCATCAGGAAGCAGAGCTTGGCTTGCAGGACGAGGTTCCAGGGTGGGCCCTGGTTGGGAGCTGCCTCCCCCTGGGGCTCTGCTCCCCACCTCAACATCTTACTGTCTCCTCCTGGGGGAGGAGCCCAGGATCCCAGCTGGTGTTACAAGACATGTGTTGATCCTAATTCCCTGGGGAAGAGAGAGAGAGGGCTGGTGGCTTCACTGTGCCCAGAGCCACGCAGGCACAGCAGGCCAGGCCAACTGCACCTCCCAGTCCCACTGGAGGAGCCGACCACAATCTGTGTGGCCTCCCTGCAGGATGGAAGAGCACCTAGCCCCCACAGCCCCAGAGCCAAGCCTCCTGACGCATAGCGACGTCCCCATAAGCCCACTCCTATCCAGATGGGGCCTGGGGTTCTGAAAAGTCACTGTAGAGACAGCCACCCACCTTAGTTCCTTCACTTTGGGCCACTCCTGAGTACTTGGTTTAATCCCTTCTAAGGGGCCACTTATCTTCAGACCAGCCCTACAAAGCAGGTGCTGTTGGTCCCACCCTGCTTCAGAGGAGAGGGTGAGCTGCATGGGGACCAGGAGCCCACCCACAGTCACACATAGGACCCCCCTCTGGCAAGAGCCAGAAGGCACACCTTTCACAGGAGGCACACCTTTCATAGGAGTACATGTGTGCACACACCAGCAGCCTGGGTCTGGTTTCCTCACAGGGACCCAGGACAGAGGTTGGGGACATGGTCACACTGTGCCCAGTTGGCTGTTGTGCCTCCCCTCTTCCAGCTTTGACCAGGCCAGGCTCCCGACAGAATGGATAACATCTAGCAACTGGACAGGGGCCTTGCCTCCCCACCCGCCAGGGATGCTGTGCTCGCCTCTGGCCAGGTCTGAGACACTGGGCACCCTGCTCCAGCCACTCATCCCACCCCTCCCAGCAGGGTGGCTGCCCCCAAGAAGGTGGTGGTCACTGGAGGCCCCTACAACTATAATTATGTGTGAGGCTCCGATTACAGTCTGACTCTCGGGATTGGCTCACTGGATCAGCACTCAGGTAGCACTGGCCGGGGGAAACCCATGACTCAGCTCTCTGGGGTAAATAATTGAACTGCAGGTCCGACACACACAGTGCTTCTCACAGGTCAGCCTCAGACCTGCTGTCCCAGAGGGCTTGGAGGGCCAGCCGGCCAGCAGGCCTCAGCCCCTCCATATTCTGAGGGCCACCAAGCCTGTGGGCACCACCAGGTAAGAATCGTCCCTGCACCCGACCACCTGCCACGGCAGAGGCACTGGACAGCCAGGAAGGAGTAGGGAGGCTTGGCTCCCGCAGTTTCCTTGAGAGACTGGGGCGCAAGACAGGAGCATTTGCAGTCCCGTTCTGTATGCCTGGGCCCTAGGCACCTGCGTGAGCACCGAGATGCCAGAGACCCCTGGGGCAGGGGCTTGGGAGGAAGGGCTCACTGCTCTCACTGTTGCTGGGGACCGTGTGGCCTGCCAGGCTAGGACCACCTCCCCACTCTCCCCAGAGGCTGCCCAGGGCCAGCCATAGCAGTGGCTCCTCACAGGTGCCTTGGTGCCCTGGGCTCTGAGGGCCAGAGAGTATTTGCTTAAGATTGCCATGAAGGGGATTTTGAAAACAGGTACTTTGGAGCCTGAGGAGGACAGGCCCAAGGTCGCAATTGTGGTCAGTGTGGCCTCTAAGCTCCACCCCTGACACCCTGCACTTTCGATCACCCAGACAGGTCAGAAGGTGCAGGGATGGCCAGGCCAGCTGTTTGCAGAGTGGCATGCTGGCTGGGCAGGGAGACAGATGCCAGCTGCCTCAACTTGGTCCCAGCTGGCCTGGTGGGGTCTCTAAACACTTTCTCTGACCCTGGGGGGCTGTTGGAGAGACAGGTGGGAGAGGCACAGATCTGGGTCCCTGGCATCCATGAGGCCCTCTGCC